TATTTCCAACCACTTTTTAAAATCTATTCTAATTTTAACAGGTGTTAAGAAAATATTTAGTTTTTTTCTAGGTTAGTTCTCAAGTTTGAACCCCTCACTCTTCTTGTACCAGAATAACATGGGGTTCCTGTTAAAGAATGGAAATCCATACTTTCAACAATCATCCCAGATGATTGTTTGAACATTAAAGTTTGAGAACTACTGTTCAGGAGACTAAAGATCATTTTTATTAAGAGCCACTGACATTAAAACTTGCCTGGGTGCAGTGGCTCATGTCTGTAATTCCAGCATTTTGGGAGGCAGAGGCAAGAAGATTGTCTGAGCCCAGGGGTTCAAGATCAGCTAGGGCAACTTGGCGAGACCTTGTCTCTACAATAAATCAAAAAATTAGCCAGATGTGGTGGTGCGTGCCTGTAGTTCCAGCTACTTGGAAGGATGAAGTGGAAGGATCTCGAGCCCAGCAGGTCAAGGCTGCAGTGGTCATGATTGTGCCACTGCATTCCAGCCTAGGTGATAGAGTGAGATTCTGGCTCAAACTATATATATATATATATATAGTGTGTGTGTGTGCATATATATATATAAATATATATATAAATATATATATAAATATAAATATATATATAAATATAAATATATATATAAATATATACATACACACACACACACACACACAAAACGTTACTTTTAACAGATGAAATGCAAGCAAGTCTTAGTATGTTTTGCAAAATTTTTTGTATGCATATAATGGGCTTTAAATGGATGCATTTTCTATTGGTTAATGGTAGAAAGCTCTGAGAATCCCAGATGTCAGAACAGAACAATTCAAAGTATGAGGAATTTTTTTCTTTATTTTTCAGAGTGCAAACCAAGCTTTGGTTATCAGGTAGAATGGTACAAGCTTTGGTTATCAGGTAGGCTATACAAATGCACATGACTATGCTAAATATGTTTAGGAATATTTAACTTACAGGTATTTTCATCTAAATATCAATAAACGATACTTGGGATGATCTTTTAAAGAAGAAAAATAGAATAGTGGTGGAGGGCGGAAAGCAGGGTGTTGGTGTGCTGATCTCACCAGTAACGGCATGTGAGTAGGACCTGCGCCATAGCCTTTGCGCTTCTATCCATTGGGGCCAATCGCAATAACAACATTGCTCTTCCCAGCTATTTGGTTTATGTAGCTGTTTAGAGAAGATGTCATGAGATGTTTCTAGTCATTTGCTTTGTGGCTTTGTTCATTGGTATGACTTGTGAGCGCCTGAAATGACTAGATGCTTTGTATCCTTTTTATTCTTGAGAACAGCCTGTTGAAGTAGATGTTATTACAATTCTCATTTTATAGGTGGAAAAGCTGATGCTGAAAGTAGTTGAGTAATTGATGCAACATAATCCAGCACTTCATCGTGTCACACTGCAGAATTGATGTCCATAGCAGACTGATAATTTTAAAAAGTATTTTTAAAAATGAATGATGTTTAAAAATGAATGAGATTAGAACTGTTGTGAAAAGGCCACCAATACCTGCTCTGTAGAGTGGCTTTCAAATAAGATTTACTGATTGAATTAACTCATGACAGTGTCTGCTTGCTGAAGGTCAGAGAGCCTTTCAGTATCAGTCCAAGGCGGCTATTCTGCATGTGTGTATCGAGCTAACACCAGCTGAAGTGATGAATCCAAGATAGGAGACAAACTAGTGTGGGGAGAAAATTTAAGACTTTCGGTCTATGTTTCTTTCCTTTTTTTTTTTTTTTTGAGTTGGAGTCTCACTCTCACCCAGGCTAGAATGCAGTAGCACGCTTGCAGCCACCACAATCTTGACCTACTGGGCCCAGGTGATCTTTCCACCTCTGCCTTCCAAGTAGCTGGAACTACAGGCACATGCCACCATGCCCGGCTAATTTTTTGATTTATTGTAGAGATGAAGTCTCACTAGTTTGCCCAGGCTGATCTCGAACCCGTGGACTCAGGCAATCCTCTCACCTCCACTTCCCAAAGTGCTGGGATGACAGGCATGAGCCACTGCGCCAGGCCTGGCTTTTGTTTCATACACATACGTAAGGCCTCACTTTAACTGAAATTCACAAATGAGGGAGGTCATATGCTTCCAGTACAGTGTTGCTTCCTTGTCTCCAGTTATCCATCCACTCATACCACCCACCAGCCGTAGCTATGTTTACCAACTTGGGTTTTTCTCTATGCTCATACTATCATACATAAACATATATAGAGGGTTTACTTTGTCATTGTTTTCTAATGATGGATTATATTATATACATTTTATTATCTTTTCATTCAATAAGATCTTGTGACAATCCCTCCCAACCACTGTTAAAGCTCTACTTCCTTTTCTGTGGGTACATAGAATTCCATGGTGTGTATACACCATAATTTACTAACCTATTTCCGCCTTGGTGGGTATTTACGTTGTTAACTTTTTGCTACTACAAAGTTTGCAGTAAATAACCTTGTACAAAATACCTGCACATCTTTGTGCTTTTACTTTTATGGGATAGGTCCCCAGAGTGGAATTGATGGGTCAGAGGATACACATTTCTTATTAGATTACCTGTTCGCGGTGGCTTTTCATGAAGTCTGTACCAATTCATATTTCCTCCAGCAATGTGTGCAATTCCCTTTCACTATGTAGTTTCAGCAGTGTTAAAACCCTTTTACATTTTTATCATTCTGATGAGTATAAGATGACATCTATTATTTTGTCTTTCCCATGTTGGAAGTTTATACATATTCTCATGTGGTTTTTAACTTTGCATTTTCTCTGGGAATTAGACATTCGCATTCTGTGACTGTTTTCCCAATGGGTAGTTTTGGTTTTCTGACCGCTGTGTATGTAATAATCTTATCTGCATCTGGGAAGTGGGTGACTTGAACTCATCCTGCTTGATTCCCACTCTGAACTCAACCTTTTCCCGCTGCTGAGTCAAAGAGCTGGCTGCCGGGAGGCCTCGGGGTCTCCTGGGCTCTCCAAGAAGAGGGCAGCTAGAGAGCCTAGGGCAAGGACCAAGAGTGATGCCCAGAAAGCGTGGACTCCTCGGCTGCCTCTCTGCCCTCAGGGGAATGTTGACATCAGCCTGGTCTCTTGGAGACCAAAAAGGAACAGAGCCAAGCAGCTGAGTTCTCCCTGCTCCTGTGGCGAGATCTCGCTCTGCCTCCCGGACAGCCTGTGTGCTGCCAGCACCTGCTCCCCAGCTGTCGGGCAGAGAAGGGATCAGCTTCTCCTGCTGTAGGATTGCCAACTTCAGGACGTCAGGGGATAGGCAGAACACAGAGCACATCTAAGGACGAAGCCGCCGGAAAGGAATATGTACTAGAACTCTCAGGCCCCCGACAGATGGAGCTGCTGGAGGAGAGACAGCCGGGACAAAACACTAGGAACATAAGATTCATGCTAACGTATGTGCGGTATTAAAAAACAACAAAACTCTGGAGCCAAAATCCATTATCCGGAGCCAGATGTACTCATGGTTACAGTGGAGGACGGGGGTCACACGGAGACTTAAATGAACAGCCTGGAGAGTCTCCTGGACAAAGTGTGTTAACATCTTGAGGAAAATTCAAAGAAAAGTAGCAGTAACAGATTCCCAGGGTAGAACCAGAAGACCTAATGTGTATAGTTCTAGGAGAAAAAGGAACCGATGGAGAGATGATTTTGAAAAGGACATTCTTGAGCTAACAAAGAGCCGAGTCTCTAGGCTCAATGGGCCTGCTGAGGTCTAGGCAGAATTGGTGGGAATAATAATAAATGAGTTGCCCGGTACTCCTTCTGCCAGGCACTGTTCTGAAGGCTTTAGGTTTAGTCACTCATCGAGTCCTCAGAAATGCCCTGGCAAAGTCAGTGCTGTTATCCCCCTTACTCAGATGGAGAAAAAAGAGGTGAAGAGAAAGGGCAGAAAGTGAACTTGCGAAGTCTGACTCTAGAGCCTCAACTCAGCTGCCTCCGAGGGCAAAGACCTGTGTTTAGGCAGATGCTAACATGTATGAACTCCACAGGTGAGGACAAAAATTAGCAAGTTCCAGAGAGCGCGAGAGAGAAGGAGTTACCAGCAAAAGAAAGAGACTGACACGCACATTCTCATTTGCACCAGTTTAAGCCAGAAAACTGGGAGAACTTCTCCACACTGTGCTATGTGGCAGAAAAGGACCACGAGCCACAGTGCTAGCCACTCATGCATTTATTTACATCTCTGGGCGAAACACAGATTTGCTGATTGACCAGCTGATGACAATACTCGGAGAAAAGAAAATCTCCTCGTCTCTAACCTTGGTCTTTGCACATGCTGTTCCTCCTCCTCCCTCCTTTGCCAACCATCTCGTCCCAAAGAACATTAACTCTTTGTAGGAAATCCTTGGCGACTCCTCAAGTCAGCCTTTTGCTCCTCCTACTTGCTCCTGCGGCGCCTTGTACGTCCCCCATGCTAGCACTTACCATCATCTCTCATGATGACCTTTTGTTCCTTGTCTTATGTTCTCCATAATATTGTGAGCTCTGTGAGGGCAGGGGCAGGCCTGTCTCGTTCACTGTAATAGTCCTAGTGCTGCGCACAATGCTGGCAACATAATAGGCTAGTGGTGTGATCAGATTTTTATGTGAAGTCAAAATTTGTACATCTCCCTTTTTTGTTACTCTACTCAGGGAAAGGAGAGCTTTAAGTAGAGTTTCTTCATAAAACCCCATTTGGCTAGACTTACTGGGTATTTCTCTATTCACCTCATAACTATTTTACAGATTTTAAATTCACAAAAATTTCAGTGTAAATGATTGTATGAAAATCTATCTATAGATTCAATTTATCCAAGATGCATATTATCCACGTTGGGTTCAAATTCTTATTTGTTATTTTGGAAGAGCAAAATGAATAGGAAAGTAAAGGGATGAATTTGCAAGGTTGGTAGAAAAAAATGGGTTAAAAATTCAGAAATAGTGTTCTGATACTCAAAAAGAATGATATTAATCCTGCATTTTTATTTCTCTTCAGATTAAAGCTAAAAATTATGACAAGGTTGAAAAGGTGAGTCCTCTTACATATACTCTGAATTTTATGTTGAAGTTTAACTTAAGACTTAATATCAGGGTGCCAAAAAATTGTGTATACATTTTAAGAGATGTTATCTATGTATTACTTTTTGAAGTTGAATTGAATTATGGTAGCAATGTATAATTGCAAAAGTGAAACATGACTTATTCATCTTTTATTATCAGTATATATTGAGTATTACAATTTTAGTATAGTTTTGTCTATTCTTGAAATGTCTATACATTTTTTAGCACCCTCTGTACAAAGCAGATATATCGAAATATTAACAATTATTGAGTCGGGCACAGTGGCACACAGCTGTAATCCAGCACTTTGGCAGACAGAGGTGAGAGGATTGCCTGAGTCCGGGGGTTCAAGACCATCCTGGTCAACTTGACGAGACCTTGTCTCTACAATGAATCAAAAAATTAGCTGGGTATGGTAGCATGTGCCTGTAGTTCCAGCTGCTTGGAAGGCTGAGGCGGAAGGATCGCCTGGGCAACAGAGAGACTCCTACTCAAAAAAAAAAAAAAAAAAAAAAAAAATATATATATATATATATATATATACATATATATATATATATATATATATATATAATCCAGGTAGTGATTATTTAGGAGTTCATTGTACTTATTTAATTTTCTTATATGCTTAAAAATGTTGACCATAAAAATTTTGGAGAGCCAGCCTAGACAACATAGCAAGACCTTATCTCTACAAAAAAATTTTTTTTAAGTTAGCTGGATGTGGTAGTGTACATCTATAGTCCCAGCTACTTGGGAGTCTGAGGCTGGAGTATGGCTTGAGCCCAGGAGTTTGAGGCTGCAGTGAGCTGTGATTGTGCTACTGCACTCCAGCCTGGGTGACAGGGAGCCCTTGACTCAAAAAAAGGAAAAAATTTAGAGAAGGAGAAGAAAATAATTATACTTCACTGAACAAAATCATGAGACCTATTTTATTATTAAACTGAAAACAAGAGGAAATTGTTATTTTTCTTTTACTTATAAAAAGATAAGTTCATGAAGGGAGCTGAATTTGTTTCTTTTTTTTTTTGAGTTGGAGTTTCACTCTGTCACCCAGACTGGAGTGCAGTGGCCGCCCTGGCCACTGCAGCCTCGACCTGCTGGGCTCCGGCAATCCTTCTGCTTCAGCCTTCCAAGTGGCTGGAACTACAGGCGCGTGCTACCACACCCAGCTAATATTTTTTTGTTTATTGTAGAGATGAGGGCTCGCCAAGTTGCCCAGGTGGGTTTCAAACCCGCAGGCTCAGGCAATCCACTCACCTCAGCCTCCCAAAGCGCTAGGATTACAGGCTGAGCCACCAAGCCTGGCTCTGAATTTGTTTCTTAAACATTCCGTTTTGTCTGTGTCCATGTGAAATTTAACTGGATTCTGATAATATATTCTTGTATTTAAAGCTGTTTCAGAGATGCCTTATGAAGGTTTTGCACATTGATTTATGGAAATGTTATCTTTCATATGTCCGAGAAACTAAGGGGAAACTACCAAGTTACAAGTAAGTGAAATCAGTTCTTAAGAATGCAAGCCATATCCAGCCACACAGTCAGTCCCACGTATACTCATGCCCTCTCTTAACTCTGGGGTTGGATGGGGCAGGATAGAGCAGATTTAAGGACCTCACCTCAAGATTCCCCAAGAGGTCAGTAACCTTGGAAAAAGTGCTTCAAAGAAAGCCACTGGCATTGGTCTCTCTCTGGAGAACAGGCGCGCAAGCCCTTCTAGAGTGAAACACTGTATTCGTGACACCACACTGCTTTGTGACAGGCTTGTTACTATACTTTTTAAAAAGCACCTTCATGCTTGTCCTGGCACCACTTTTGGCAACTTACAGTGCAGTGTGCCGTTCCAGTGATCCAAGGGGTCTTGGATGATTCCACTGTTGTGTAGCTGGCCTCTCCACTCTGACCTAGGCGCCCCCATCATCTCTGAATCCACATAATGGGCCTTATCATGCTGTTTTTGTACATAACTAGCAGGCAGATTATATCTGTGATTAGAATTCTGTCTTTGTCATCTTCTCCTGATTGTACTTTATTGTCTTATATTCAAGAGGAAGTTTTTTCCTCTAATAAACCCTTTACATTTTAATGTAAGTAGCGTTTTAAAACATATTTTCGTGAGCCGGGCTCGGTGGCTCAGCCTGTAATCCCAGCACTTTGGGAGGCTGAGGTGAGTGGATTGCCTGAGCCCGCCTGGGCAACTTGGTGAGTGGTTCGAGACCCGCCTGGGCAACTTGGTGAGACCTCATCTCTACAATAAAATAAAAAATTAGCTGGGTGTGGTAGCGTGCGCCTGTAGTTCCAGCTACTTGGAAGGCTGAGGTGGAAGGATCGCCGGAGCCCAGCAGGTCGAGGCTGCAGTGGCCTGGAGCAGCCACTGCACTCCAGTCTGGGTGACAGAGTGAGACTCCAACTCAAAAAATAAAATAAAATAAAATAAAAAAATAAAACATATTTTCTAAATTTCTAAACTTATCTTTAGATGCAACTTACCTCCTAAATGAGAAAACTATATATTGTCACATTTGAATCTGCTGTGTATAGAATTAACTTAGAGGACATAAAGATGAGTAAGGCATGAGCCTATCTTTGCTGAGCTTACAGCAGTTGAGGAAACATGCAAAACACAGAAGAACTCCTTTATTTACTTAACAAAGATGCCTTTGATTTTTGTTTATATAGAATACTCAAATGTTGTTCTGATCCTATGATCAGAAATTGTTTTCATTGTAGATACATTATAATAACAAAACAATTTTAAAACTATGAGTTTTATGTTCATTTCAGAGAAAAAATGGCTCAAGCATATGACTTTGCACTGGATAAAATTGGAATGGAAATTATGTCCTATCAGGTAGAGTTAAAATTGTTTAATATATACTTAAATTTGAAAATACCAAGAAAGTTATTAACATTTTATTTTAATTTTTAGATTTGGGTGGATTACATCAATTTCTTAAAAGGCGTGTAAGTATTTTTATAATTTTTTTCATATAACCTGTTTGTTTAACTATAATATACTTTTTAGTTATTTGAGAAATCTCCATACTGTTTTTCATAGAGGTTGTCCTTTGGTTATTGCCAAGTTGAATGGGACTTAAGCTGTAATATAACTGATGGCATTTCTTATCCCATCTCAGGGAAGCTGTTGGATCTTATGCAGAAAATCAGAGAATAACAGCTGTCCGAAGAGTTTATCAACGAGGTTGTGTTAATCCAATGATCAACATTGAACAGCTCTGGAGAGACTATAACAAATATGAAGAAGTAAGGGAGACGAGAGTGGTTTTTTATTACAGCTTGAGCCATTTTGATGTTTATGCATTGTTGAATGTGGATGATAGCCTTTCTAGTGTCAGGCACGTGGATAGCGGCATACACATTGTTTTGTGTTGATCGTAACAAAAGTTTTGCAGGGTTTTGACAACTCCATATTAATTTTGCTGTGTTTTAGAGAATTCTCTGGTAGAACAATAATTCTTAGAAAACAATTTTTATTCAGTGCTCAGTCATATCCACGCATTCATGCAGACACACACATTGCCACAGGCCTCCTATAAATTGTACCGTTTGAGAATTATTTTTCAGTTGCTGTGCACTTCTTTTGCCTGATTACAGTGATGTGATTGTTGGTCGAATTTGTGAATATGGGCCTGCAATCCAAGATCTTTGTCTCGTTGGTATATGCTGTGACCACCTGAGCTAATCAACCCATATACATGCCAAGGAAGCTCGAGCATTAAAACTTTTCTCATATGTACATTGTAATGTGGAAGAGCCGAATAGTGAGCAGTGGTTCTCAGACTTTATGGTTTTCAGATTTCTTAAATTGTTGAAGATCACAAATAACTCTTATTTTTAATGTGGCTTTTATATTTTTATATTTGTGAGCGAGGCAAATAATGTCTTAGTATTATATGAAAATCGTTTTGTCTCACAGACACCCTGAAAGAATTTGGAGACCAGGAATCCTTTTACTACTTGAGAATGGCTACATGAGTAGTCATGTTTATGTTTCCTTGCTACTTCGGCTTGTTCCTTTTAAGCTTCACAGAACTACTTAGAAAGGGCTGTTAAAGTCAAACTGTGGCTTTTCATCCACATGAATGTGTACATCATTCTTTTCCAGTAGAATTTTTTTTTTTTGAGTCAAAGTCTCACTGTGTCACCCAGGCTCACGGCCACTGCAGCCTCGACCTGCTGGGTTCAGGAGAGCCTTCCTCTTCAACCTTCCAAGTAGCTGGAACTACGGGCATGCACCACCATGCCCAACTAATTTTTATGATTTATTGTAGAGACAAGATCTCGCCAAGTTTCCCAGGCTGGTCTCCAGCCCGTGGGTTCGGACAATCCTCTCACCTCAACCTCCCAAAGTGCTGGGATTACAGGTGTGAGCCACTGCACCCGGCATTTTAGTAGAATTTTATATGACATAATTGACCCTTCCAAATGATTCCATCTATTAAAATTCCTGATACATGGAAACTCACTGCCAGCTTATAATAGACATAAGGAGAAACTCATAATAAACATGAGGGGATTATTCTTGTCTTTGAAGCATAGAATGTGATTGAACCTTTATTTTATTAAATTTAAAAATATTTTAAAATAAAGAATTTAAAATTTTTTAGTAAATGAGTAAAATAACTGTATTGTGTTAATTTTTAAACATTACACTTAATCTTAATATACATCTTTGCTTTTTCTTAGGGTATTAATATTCATTTAGCTAAAAAAATGATTGAAGATCGGAGTAGAGATTACATGAACGCTAGGCGTGTAGCAAAGGTATGGAATTCCATCTGGCCATTTACTTTAATGATCGAGTTGGTTTATAGCAGAGCTTTCCTTGTCTGGTAATACTCTTGATATTTTTCATTTGTTAGCAGTTTAACTCAAAACAATTTATTGTAGTATCTGAGCAGATGATATATTTGAAATGAAATATCTTTTTGCAAGGACAAAATAGAATAAATTTTGTTTGAAAGAACTCTTATTTACTATGGAAACAGGACATTGAGACATGGTCGTACCTAGAATGATAAAGTCGTTCTGATCCTTTTCTCATATCTGTTTATCTGAATCCTGTACTACTCTGCGGTCTAGCAACATAGCTCTCAGGGACAGATTTTGGGTTGTGTGCTTTCCATTCACTGACACTTTTAGAAGTTAGGAAAAATATTAATATGAACTATTGAAATTTTAAAAGACAGATCATTTCTCCAAAGATGGCAGTAATCATGCCACCAGATCTTTTCGTCATGTTGACTGTGTCCTGGAAAGTGACCTGGGTCACCTGTAGAGAGGGCCTCTGGGTGTTCTGTTCACCCACTCCTGGTAGCCTGGTTTTCTTTTGTTTGTTTGTTTTTTAAGTTGGAGTCTCATTCCGCCACCCAGGCTGGAGTACAGTGGCATGCTCACAGCCACTCCAGCGTTGACCTGCTGGGCTCCGGTGATCCTTCTGCCTCAACCCTCCAAGTAGCTGAAATGCCATCACGCCCAGCTAATTTTTTATTTATTGTAGAGATGAGGTCTCGCCAAGTTGCCCATGCTGGTCACGAACCTATGGGCTCAAGCAGTCCACCTGGCTTAGCCTCCCAAAGGCTGAGCCACTGAGCCTAGCTTGTGCCTGTTCTTGAGTGTATAGTACTCTGTGATCTTTCTCTCTACTCTTAGTTTTTAAATTATATTTTAAAAGTGGCATTTGGAAAAAGTAGGCATTTGAACAAAGTCTTCTAAACTGATCAGCTCTATCCTATATATCTGAGCTGTTCCAGGCTCACCTGCGAATTCTGAATGCTTCCTGTGATCTGCATGACACTTTTAAAAACAGTACAATCTTAAAAGAAGGTTCTGAATGCTTCTTTCCTAGGAATATGAGACAGTAATGAAAGGTTTGGACCGCAACGCTCCCTCGGTGCCTCCACAGAATACTCCTCAAGAAGCTCAGCAAGTAGATATGTGGAAGAAATATATACAGTGGGAGAAGAGCAACCCCCTTCGCACCGAGGACCAGACCCTCATAACCAAAAGAGGTAGCAAGATTAGCCCTCCTGGAACTCCAGCTACCTGTGCATTAGGCCGCTAGATCTTCCCATAGGTCACTGAGACTTTTTTTTAATGCCTAGCCTGTTTTCGCTTGTGTTCACATTCAATATGTATTACAAATCTATCTTCATGTTCGCTGAATTTTTGTTTAATCACATGCAGTCTATTTTTTTCTTTTTTGAGTCAAGGACTCACCCAGGCTAGAGGGCAGTGGCATGATCGTGGGTCACTGCAGTCTCCACCCGGGCTCAAGCAATATACTCCTACCTCAGCTTCCCCAGTAGTTGGGACTACAGGCACATGCTACCATGCCCACTCATTTTTTTATTTTTATTTTTTTATAGAGACGCCGTCTGGCTCTGCTATTCAGACTGGTGTTGAACTCCTAGGCTCAGGAGATACTCCCACTTAAGCCTCCCAAAGTGCTGGGAATACAGGCATGAGCCACCGTACCTGGGTATAGTCTACTCTTAAGCCCATCCAGTGAATTCTTCATTTCATTTCATTTTCAGTTCTTGTAAATTTCCATTTTAGAACTTTAAAATTTCTTTTTATAGTTTCCACTTCTCAGTTGAGATTCTTTGTGTTTATTGTCATCTTTTTCTGTATATCTTTTAACATAGTTATAATTAGTAGTTTTAAACTCCTCATCTGCTAATTCCAACATCTGGTTTGTTTTCTTTGATTGCTTCTTTGCTTTTTTTTTTCTTTTTTGAGTTGGCATCTCCCTCTGTTGCCCAGGCTGGAGTGCAGTGGCACACTGGGCTCTGGTGATCCGCCTCAGCCTTCCAAGTACCCAGAACTACAGGCATGTGCTACCACACCCAGCTAAGTTTATTTTTATTTTTATTTTTATTGTAGAGATGAGGTCTTACCAAGTTGCCCGAGCTGGTCTCAAACCCGCGGGCTCAGGCAATCCATTCACCTAGGCCTCCCAAAGTGCTGGGATACAGGCTGACTCACCGAGCCCAGCCTGGTTGCTTCTTCTCTGGACTGTAGGTCACGTTTTTCTGTTCATCACATGTCTAGATAAGTTACATTTTTTCATTGGACATTGTACAAGTGTACAAATGATATATTGTAAAGACTGGATTCTGTTATCTTCCTATAAAGAATGCTGAGTTTTATTTTAGCAGTCAGTTAAATTACTGCCAGTTCACTTTGGACTTTGTGGAGGCTTAGTTTTATACTATTAAGATGGGTCTGCTTTAGTTTTACCCTTCATTTCAGAGTAAATCCCTTAGTCTTGGGACATAGGCCTTCTAAGACATAATGGCAAGTCCAAGGTGTTTGGCCAGACCATCTCACAGGTTAAGACAAATTCCAAATTTGGTCTCCCTTAAAATAGGCAGTTGCTGAAATATCTGTCACCCAGGCTGGAGTGCAGTGGCACACTCACGGCCACTGCAGCCTCCGTCTGCTGGGTTCAGGCGATCCCTCTAACCTCGGACTTCCAAGTAGCTGGAACTATAGGCGTGTACCACCACATCTAACTAATTTTTTTTCTAATTGTAGAGATGAGATCTTGCCATGTTGCCCAGGCTGGTCTCGAACCCGTGGGCTCAGGCATTCCTCTCGACTCAGCCTCCCAAAGTGCTGGGATTATAGGTGTGCACTACCGCACCTGGCTCTATGCATGCACATTTACGTATTAAGAATCAGCTAAGGATTTTGAGCACACTTACGCCCAAATTTCTGCCTCTCACTTTTTGGGGGTTTCTCCTCAATTTCAACCTGCTCTCATAGGTCAGAACTCCATGTTACAAGCCAGTAGAACAGCAGTCTTTGGCTTGCTATCCCAGAACTGCACAGACATGGGTATAGCCTCTCAAGGAAAAAGTCATGTAAATATGGAACTTACCTCGTGTGTTCCGTTTTTTCCCCAGGGCTCATCTCTTCTGCTTCTTTTTGGTCATTTCTACACTACCTTTAAATAGTTGCTTTTTGGTTGTTGTTCTTTGCCATTTTTATTCGCAGATGGGTTGATACAAACTACTCTGCCACGGCCAGATGAGAATGTGGGTTGATCAACTCCCGCAGGATTGCTCAGCTCTCTGGCTACACCGTCTTGGCATCAACCCGCTCCTCCTTCACTTATCATCTGACCAGCTTCATCCTTTCTTCATGTTTGGTTTTAGGTGAAGCCTTTCCCAAGTCCCTGAACTGCGTCAAGTCCTGCTGCTGGCAGTTTCTAGAGGACGCTGTGCTTCCCTCAAACAGTGCTTTCTATTGTTGCTTTCCTTGTGTCTGTCCTCGCCATAGGCTACTGATTTCTTGAACGTAGGAAGTCTTGCTCACATGGGTGCTCACAGCGCCTTTCACATTTCCTGGCATACAGTTGGTGCCCAGTAAATATCAATCTCATCCATGATGAGTACGTGGGCTCGGGTAGATGATGGTGCCAGAAATCACTAAGGCTTTCTTCTCTGTCATGCACTTCAAGGACCCTGCCTTAGGCTGAGAATGTAGTTGTGATGGCTAAACGATAGTTTCACAAGTAATGTTGATTTTAACTGACTGCTGTCTGGATGTCTTCCTTAGTCATGTTTGCTTATGAACAGTGCCTGCTTGTGCTGGGTCATCACCCTGACATCTGGTATGAAGCCGCCCAGTACCTTGAGCAGTCCAGCAAACTGCTGGCAGAGAAGGGAGTGAGTATTCCCCTCCCCACACGGGTCCTTAAGTGGTTTTGGTAGTGCAGTGACTTCCTGAAGAAGACAACATTGAATTTTGGCAATAAGGTGTTAGTGCTGAGAATTTTAAACTTATATTAATATGAATCTTAATTATCAGTTTTAATTTTTTTTTTCTTTTTGAGTTGGAGTCTCACTCTGTTGCCCATGCTAGAGTGCAGTAGGAAGTTCATGGCCACCACAGCCTTGACCTGCTGGGCTCAGGCAATCCCACCATCTCAGCCTCCCAAGTAGGAACCACAGACACGCACCACCACACCCAGCATTTTTTTTTTTTTGAGTGGAGTCTGTCGTCCAGGCTCAACCTACTGAGCTCAGGCGATCCTTCCACCTCAGCCTACCAAGTAGCTGGAACCACAAGCATGTGCCACCATGCTCAGCTAATTTTTTTATTTATTGTAGAGACGAGGTTTTCCCATGTTGCTTAGGCTGGACTTGAACCCCTGGGCTCAGGCAGTCTTCTCACCTCCACCTCCCAAGTGCTGGGATTGCAGGCATGAACCACCATGCCCGGCTTCTTAGTGACGTTCATATAATTAGACTGTCTTAGTCTGAATTAAAAATATAGTGGTTGTTTTTTAATGTATTAAAGTGATGAATCATTTCGAGTATTTATAGTGGCTATTTTTTAATGTATTAAAGTGATGAATCATTCGAGTAAGTTAAAAGGACAGAAGAAGTTTTCCAGAAATGCATATGTGTTTGTGCACGTATGTATTTATGTGTGTGTGTTTTCTTAGATACATAAATAAACCAGATGCAGTTTTATGAATTTTATTCTCTTCTAGCTATGTTAAAATTATTGAGGGTGAGCTTTCTTTTTTTTCTCTTAGGATATGAATAATGCCAAATTATTTAGTGATGAAGCTGCTAATATATATGAAAGAGCCATAAGCACTTTATTGAAGAAGAATATGCTTCTTTATTTTGCATATGCAGATTATGAAGAGGTAAGTAAACATGTTTAGATCTTTTTTTATCTTTATTTTTTTTTAGAGATAACATCTTGCTCTGGTGCCTAAGATGGAGTGCAATGGCTCGATCATAGCTCACTGCAACCTAGAACTCCTGGGCTCAAGCCTCCTGAGTAGCTGAGACTACAGGCGTATACCATCACGTCTGGCTAATGTTTTTATTTTTGTAGAAACAGGGTCTCACTTGGTTGTCCAGGCGGTCTTAAACCCCTGGACTCAAGCAATTCTCCTGACTAGGCCTCCCAAAGTGCAAGAATACAGGCATGAGCCACAGTGCTCGGCCTTAGAACTTTCTTATAATTTTTGTAAACTAAACTTTTTTTCTGGTTGCTGCTTTGCTGTGCATATTGTTTTTGGTGGACAGAGGTGATGCAGAATAAACACTTATTAGTCCTCGGCTCATATCACCTTTAGCTCAAAGCAGGTGCCATTGGTGGAGGTGGGTCAGCCTTGGCTTCCTTGGCGCGCCAGTGCTGTGCGTTTTGACTTATATTTACCATCACTTCCTCCCTTCTGCCTTAGAGCCGCATGAAGTACGAGAAGGTTCACAGTATCTACAACCGACTGCTGGCAATTGAGGATATTGACCCGACCTTGGTGAGTCATTTACAGATCTCTCTTTCCCACCTTTACAGGGTAAAAAGTAATTTAACTTTATATGTGGTGAAATTCATTGTTTTTCGTCTGTAGTCTATGAATCTTGATAAGTAGCATCAAGTCATAGGACTACCACCACAATGAAGATCCAGAACATTCCATTGCCCTCAGAAATTCCCTCATGTGACCCCTTTGTAGGCAGCCCTTCTCTTGGCAATTATTGATCTGTTTTCTTTTTCATGCAGCAGTATGAAATAAATACAGAGGGACTTTCTCTAACACTTTCCCTGTGATCGTGGTTTGAAGCTACTTTACGCAACATAATTGTGGCTTCATAAATATTTCTTTTTAAATGAAACAGGATAAACCAACAACCTAGGAGGGTGTTGGACAGAAATTTGCCATTTCCTCGGTCCTGTTCTATCCCAGTAGTCTCAAAACTTTCAAAGCTGCAGAAGTGCAGGGTGCTCTATGGGGGATGAGGGGAGGTAGACAGGCTGCAGGTGGGTTCTAGACCCTCGGCCTCAAGTTGATTACATCATCCCTGCTTCTTTTTTTGTCTGTATTGGGGTCCCACTGCTCCAATTCCTGTGCTCATTCGTTATTTTTAAATGGATTCTGCATATCTAAGCCCTGTGCTAGACTCCAGCCACATAATGGAAACTAGATGAAGTCCCTTTCTGCGTGGAACCTGTAGGCCGTGCCTTCACTGTCCCTCCTTCCAGAGCAGACAGCAGGGATTGATGTCAGAACTGGGCAAACCAGGCCCCTCCCACGATCATTGGTTCACAAAGCATATATCGCATACTCATTAGGTGGTGGACACTCTGTAGATGTTGAGTATACAGCAGCTCATAGTCTAATGATGAAGTTCCATGATATGGTCTTTAGAAAATAGAGGAGTGGGCTTTTTTTTTTTTTTGAGTTGGAGTCTCACCGTCGCCTAGGCTGCAGTGTAGTGGTATGCTCACGGCCTCCTCAGCCTTGACCTGCTGCTGGACTCAGGTGATTCTTCTGCCTCAGCCTTCCAAGTAGCTGGAACTACAGGCGTATGCCACCACACCCGGCTAATTTTTTGATTTATTGTAGAGACGAAGTCTCACCAAGTTGCCCAGGCTGGTCTCGAACCCCTGGACTCAGGCAATCCTCTTGCCTCTGCCTCCCAAAGTGCTGGGATTACAGGCGTGAGCCACCGCGCCCGGCCGAGGAGTGGGCTTTTAAAAATAAACCAACAAAATGTGAAGGTAAACATATCTTGTAAAACATGCTTGTATTCAATCAGATCTTGAGTTTTTAGATATTGACATTCATGAATGGAGTGTTTTCTAGTAGTTTTCCATATTCCCCCCCCTCCCTTTTTTTTGTGAGTCAGGATCTTGTGTTGCCTAGGCTGGAGTGCAGTGGCACAATAACAGCTCACCACAGCCTTGACCTCCTGGGCTCAGACGATCCTTTTACCTCAGCTTCCCAAGTAGCTGGGACTGTAGGTGCACACCACGATGCCCGGCTAATATTTTATTTTTTGCAGAGACATGGTCTTGCTATGTTGCCCAGGCAAGTCTGGAACTCCCTGGCCTTAAGCAACCCTTCCACTTCAATCTCCTAAAGTACTGGGATTACAGACATGAGTCACCATGCCCATCCTCCTTAAACTTTAATTTACACGTGCTAGAATTAGATAGTGGTGATGATTGCACACTCTTGTGAATATATTTAAAACTACTGAATTGTATATTTTTTAAAGGGTGAGTTTTGTAGTATATGAATAAAAAATAATAATTGGCATACATCTCTAATACCAGAAAAAATAGCATATTATCCATAATACTACTTACTAATTTGGGGAGTATTTACTATTGACTTCTTTTTTTTTTTTAAGTTTTTGAGCAAGGTTTGTTTAGAAAGAGAGAGAGATTCACCTCCCCAAGATAGGGGAGGGGGGCCAAAGCTAAGAAAACACAGCAACCATAGCTCAAAGAGTCATGTGGAGGCAGAGTTTAACAAAGCAATGGCCTAGGATCGCTTTCTTATATGGGAAACTTTTGCTGCCTCATTTGTATACTACAAACACTTTTTTTGCATAGGTATATATCCAATACATGAAATTTGCAAGGAGAGCAGAAGGTATCAAATCTGGAAGAATGATATTTAAAAAAGCAAGAGAAGATACCAGAACCCGCCACCATGTCTATGTTACCGCTGCACTCATGGAGTATTACTGTAGTAAGGTAAAGATTGAAATGCAAGCATAAAGGTGAAGTTATTTCCTTCATCTGAGGTACACTGAATAAAACAAACGAGTCCTAGTTTCTGTTATTAACCTTCCGTTGCTCCATTTTGTAAAGGAGTCTACATGTCTCTGTAAAATTACAGGGAGCCCCCCAGCTGCCTGCAAATTTAGACCTTATTAAAACCCTGTATTTCTTTTTTTTTTCTGAGTCGGAGTCTCATTCTCACCCAGGCTAGAGTGCAGGGCCATACTCACGGTCACCATAGCCTCGACCTGCTGGGCTCAGGTGATCCTTCTGCCTCAGCCTTCCAAGTACTTGGAACTACAGGCACATGCCACTATGCCTGGCTGATGTTTTGATTTATTGTAGAGACGAGGTCTCACCAAGTTGCCCAGGCTGGCCTTGAACCCCCGGGCTCAGGCAATCCTCTCGTCTCCGCCTCCCAAAGTGCTGGAATGACAAGCTTGAGCCACCGCACCCTACCCTGTATTTCTTAACCTAAGCCTAAACCAGCAGTTTTTGCTTCATGTGACTTTGGTTTCCATTCTAATCCTGATGGCACTTAGTCACAGTTAGGTATAGTGTCTTGTCTCACATTTCATGGAAATCAATACTCTGTTTACTTCTAGGACAAATCTGTTGCCTTTAAGATTTTTGAGCTGGGGCTGAAGAAATATGGAGACATTCCAGAATATGTCCTGGCCTATATTGACTATCTTTCTCACCTCAATGGTAAGCTGATTCTCGAATCTATAGTGGTGTCTTAATGTTACGTCATTTGAAATTATGCTGCTCGATTTTTTTCCTTTTCGAATGTGCTTTGACATCACACCAGCCAGGCACTTGATAGGCCACAAATGCTGCCTGAGCACCTGTCTACCATGAATTGATATTTATTGTGTCATGGTAGATACTTTTTGACTCTGCAGGATGGTCTTTAATCAGTGAAGTACTGTCAGCAAAGGGTACAAAGTAAAGGGAGAAAGCTGCAAAGTCAGAGTCAGGAGACACAGAGCTGTTGACATCCATTTCTGAGACAACTCTGGGCAAATCGTCTCCTGTTTGCTGGGGGCAAAAACAGACGAAAAAACTTCTAGCCACCCAAAGTCAAAGATGCCCAAATAGGAAAGCAAAACACTTTAAAGTTACTGGGAAAGAGATTCAAAAATAAGCGTTATGTTTTTCAGCATCTTTTTTTTTGTATTTGCCTATTTTGTTGTAATAATCATAATGGCATCCTTTATTGAGTTTCTACCATGTACCGGGCACTGCGGTAGGTAATTCATTTTTCTCATTAAGTCCAATTACCTACATGCCAGAATATGTAATTTCTTGACAACAAAATATATAAAAGGTGTGTTTAAGAAGGAAATGTAAACCGGACTCGGTGGCTTAGCCTGTAATCCTGCACTTTGGGAGGCTGAGGTGAGTGGATTACCTGAGCCCACGGGTTCGAGACCCGCCTAGGCAACTTGGCAAGACCTCATCTCTACAGTAAATCAAAAAATTAGCCGGGCGTGGTAGCGCGCGCCTGTAGTTCCAGCTACTTGGAAGGCTGAGGCGGAAGGATCGCCAGGGCCCAGCAGATCGAGGCTGCAGTGGCCGGGAGTGGCCACTGCTACACTCCAGTCTGGGCGACAGAGTGAGACTCCAACTCAAAAAAAAAAAAGAAAGAAAGAAATGTACAATTATGTGCCAAGTAAATGATTATATAATTAGATATCATAGGTATAAATGTATAATTTTAATGATATTTCATAAAAATATAACATTCTGTGTACCTAAATAGTATAAAAGAGTCATGTATATATGACTTTGTATTTCAGCTTAGTGATTCTCTACTGTGGACAAAGACTTAATTCCAAAAAAGTGAGATAGTGGATCATTTGCTTAATAAAGAAATTTTCTTGATGAAATCAGTGTTCCTTACCAATCTTAAATCATTTTGCTTGATTTTTTTTAGAATAGTTGCTAGTGCCAGGCACGGTGGCTCACGCCTGTAATCCCAGCACTTTGGGAGGTGGAGGCGAGAAGATTGCCTGAGTCCAGGGGTTCAAGACCAGTCTGGGCAACTTGGCAAGACCTCGTCTGTACAAGAAATCCAAAAAATTAGCCGGGCATGGTGGCACGTGCCTGTGTTTCCAGCTATCTGGAAGGCAGAGGCAGAAGGATCATTCAAGCCCAGCCGGCTGAGGCTGCAGTGGGCATGAGTGTGCCACTGCCCTCCAGCCTGGGTAACAGAGTGAGACTTCGACTCAAAAAAAAAGAACAATTACTAGTGTGTGTAATTTTTTTGATGAGGATATCATCTGATGTCAGCATTTCTGTCTTCCAAAATCCGTGTCTTCGATAGTTCACTCATTGGCCTAGCCATCTGGAACCCTCTGGTTCCTCAGGTCTGGGATTGCAAAGGTAGAGAGCACCCCACTCTCACCATCAGAGCACCCATGTGGGAGAGTCCAGTGTGTAGATTTAACTGCATTATTGTTCGCTTCACTATGGCATGATTCTGAGATTAGGTGTGTAATCTTAAAACTTCAGCTTTCTCCTCTGTAGAAAGGTCATAGTCAGAATAGTCTTCCCAGGATTACTGAGAGGAGATAGGAGTTTTTGCATGCATTTTGCTTGGATGTAGAATGTGGTAAAGCCTTCTGTCGATGTTGGCTATTTATGATGACGGTGGTGAGTGTGAGAAGCATGGGCTAACTGCTGCCCGAGAACCCAGAGGGAGTGCTTTGCAAGCACCAAAGAGAGGGCATCGCTGAAATTCGGGAGCTGGGCCGTGCTCTCACGGCAGCACCAGGCTCTCAGGTCCTGAGCATGAGAAGCGCGCCAGGCCAGAGTGGATGTGGCATGAGTGTGAGATGCCCATCCCAGACTTCCAAGGCTTGGCTCAGATAAAAGAAGGAAGATCTTAACGCCTTTTCATATTGCTTACATGTTGAGATGGTAAGAATCTGGCTATATTGGGTCAAATACAAATGAATCTCACCCTTTTTGCCCTCTTAAATATGGCCAGCGGGACACTGACATTCCATATGCGCTTGCAGTGCATTTCTGTGGGACGGTGCTGTTGCGGAGGGCGTCCCTCAGAAGGGCCCGTGAGCTGGCTTTTGAAAGAGGAGCAGTCAGCCAGGTGCTGAGGGTGGAGGCCTTGTTCCCGGCAGAGGACACAGCAGGGGGTGGGGGGGCAGTCATGTGGAGCAGTATAGGGTGTGTCTGGCACCAGGCTTGGCACAAAGGGAAACAGGATCAAGTGCAAGAGGGACTCGGCCCTTTGAAGTGCAGTGTGTTCCATTGAAGGTGGAAGTCACACAAATGGTGCTGCCTTCTCGGGCCCAATCCATTTAATCCCTTGGTTTTATCTTGCTTATTGACGGGTAACAAACCGAATAACCACTCTGAGGCAATAAAAACCAACCACTGTGCTGGATTTTTTTCTTTTAAGCAACTTTATTGAGAAATAATTTGTATACCATAAATGCATCCATTCCAAGGGTACAGTACAGCTCAGCGATTCTCAGTAGTTGGAGCCAATTTTGTTGTTAGTGTTGGATTCTTAAGTTTTGAATGGTCCCTGAGAGTCAAGCAAGGAGTGTTATTTTTCCACTCTAGCTACAGAGGACCTCTTAAAATCTTACCTGAATCCATTCACCTGTGTGTATTTGCGTACAACCTAGATGTTGAGTGTCCCTCGACAAGAGGCTACAGCAGCTGAACATAACATAGGTCTAGGTCTCAACATCAGCAGCTCAGTGTCTAAGTGAGCCAGCAGATTTTAAAACATCAGTAGTCTGATCTCTGGAATGTCAGCAGATATGTAAGTCCCATTATTTTAAAAGGCATATGGGATACCTGGCTCAGACATCCATGGATGCCTCTAGTTTTGCATTACAACCGCAGTGTAGTTCAAAGCAGGGCAGAACTGGAAGGGAACACCTGGCTTCTAGGTCCTGCCCTGCTGTTCAGTAGCCGAGAGCCAGATCAAGTCCCTTAGCCTTCCTGAACCTCAAGTTTCTTCAACTATCAAAGTCAAGTGTGATAATATTACCTTGCTGAGAGGATTTTTATAAAGATTAAGTGAGATAAAGCATATAAAAATATTGTTGACTTGTAAAAGTAAACTTTTTTGATATTTAAAAATATTTTACTATATCCTAGAGGACAATAATACCCGAGTTCTGTTTGAACGAGTTCTAACATCTGGAAGCCTTCCTCCTGAGAAGTCTGGGTAAGCCATTGTGAAAAACGTGCTGGTCAGGTCTAAAGGCAGCTTTCACACCTGTATTGGTTTTTTGTTTGTTTGATTTTGAGTCAGTCTCACTCTGTTGCCCAGGCTGGAGTGCAGGGGCACACTCACAGTCACTGCAGCCTCAACCTGCTGGGCTCAGGCAATCCTTCTGCTTTAGCCTTCCAAGTAGCTAGAACCACAGACACACACCACCACACCTGGCTACTTTTTTTGATTTATTGTAGAGATGAGGTCTCACCATGTTGCTCAGGCTGGTCTCATACCCTGAGCTCAGGTGGTCCTGTTGCCTCCACCTCTCAAAGTGCTGGGATTACAGGTGTGAGCCTCCACGCCCAGGCACACCTGAATAGTTACTGTGGGTGAATGTTTGCTTGAGTATGAGTTTCAGAGATCTCCTTTCTCTCTCAATGTCTATTCTACCTACCTGCAGTCTTTTTTATACCCATTTTAGATTATTTTTAAATTTTCTGGACAGTGATTAGAATTGTTTTAAGAGACGCCTTAGCAATTTATTATCTTTCTGGTTTCATATATCCCTAGAAATGGATATTTACATACGAGAGGAATTCTGAAATTTTTACCTCCCTTATTCGAAAGCAAAGACTCAGATACTAGAAGTTTGTTTTACATATTGTATCTGTGACTTAGGGTTTTGACTTTGTCAGTTTACCACAAAGGAGCAACGTGGTCTAGAGGTACAGTGGAAATAGGCCTTGGAGGCTTGGGTTCAGTCTCCAGCTCCACCAACTAAACCTGGACAGATTTCCTAACTGCACCCACATTCGCGTTCCTACTGGGCGACAACAGTGTCTGCCAGGTAGGACCATTGTTAGTTCTGCACCTGGTATGTAACAGGCGCTCAGCACTTCACTCCAAAGCAGAGGTGCTTTGGGACACTTGTCTCCGAGCACTGATTCTAGTCACTAGAATAGTGGTGAGGTACCAGTTGGTCCCAGGGGTCCACATTAATGGGAAACATTAGAGAGCATATTAGATCTTGGGATATATTTTTATTTCTACATTGGGTGAAGAATGTATTCTGCATTATGGCTCCTGCCACTTACACAAAACAGTGAAGCCACGTTACTAGAAAAACCTGGGTTCCTTTTCCAGCTTTCCTGCCTAGAGCTCACCCTCTCTGGGATGTCCCTCATGTGGACCACAGAGAATGGGGAGGTGTGCCAAGTAAACAGAAACTCAGGAAAGGGTTTAGATACCGAAATGTCCAGGGTGGAGGACTATGTCTATAATTCACTTTGAAACACGTGAGCAAAAACTAGATGAGGCATAGGTGGCACAGTATTAACCGTCAAGGTAATGGGATATAGGTATTCGTGACACTACTTTCCCATAGGTTAGAACTCCTTATAATCAAGAGTTTTTTACAATTTAAGGGGGAGAGAGGGGGAGCTTAAGGCTTTTTGTAAATGAACTCCCCTGTCCCAAACCCAGAATAGCTAAGTGTCGGTTATATTTATTCCCTTACAGAGAAATCTGGGCCCGGTTTCTAGCTTTTGAAAGTAATATTGGTGACCTAGCTAGTATTCTCAAAGTAGAGAAAAGACGGTTCACGGCATTCAAAGAAGAGTATGAGGGCAAGGAAACGGCCCTGCTGGTGGACAGATACAAGTTCATGGACTTATATCCTTGCTCTGCAAGCGAGCTGAAAGCACTTGGCTATAAGGTATGTGTACTTGGGGTCAAGATGTAAGCAGTGTTTTCAAAGGTTCAGGGTAACTGGCACTCTGAAGTGTAAATTCACTTAGTTTTAGAATAGACTTGCAGAAAATGGGTTTGGGAACATGGAGTGTCAAAAGTAGCTGCACAAAATGAGAATTGAAATCTTGCACTTTCCTTCTGTCCCTGAAATGGTCGATGCCTTCCATCTCATGTGTGCTGGACAGATGGTGGAAGCGGGAGGAAAGAAAGACAGAAGAAAGTCGGAACACCGCCTTAGCTTTTATGTTTTTCCTAATAGTCTTTATCAGACTGATGACCGTGTTTTGACGGATCTGTTGCGTACTTTGTTACGATATAGAGAAGAAACACTCCAGCATGTGTAGCCCACAGAGTCCCTGGAGGGATTTGTGTCCTTGTCGCAGCGTTATTCAGTGGCCCTCGGGGCGAGCAGACCGTGCTGCTCGGTTAACTTCCCAGTGAAGGCCAAGACGCAGCAGGAAACCCTCACTCGCGTTGCCGGCAGATTCCTGGAAACGGCAACTTTACGTAAGCAAAACGAAATACTGCAGGTCCTCAAATGACGTCTTTCATTTGTGGTTTTCTTATAACATTGATGAGGGAAAAAACCAAACAAACTGGTTTTGCTACACCTCATTTCTCTCAAAGTTGCCGTTTCCAGAGCCTATCGACGATAATGAGGCGCACTGTCCTTTGTGGAATTGCTGGAAAAGCCTGTTCCAACTTTTCCAACATGAAAACGAAAATCAAGGACGCTAATGACAAGGAGGCCCTACTGTTTCCTAGCGGAACTGCCTCCCAAGCGTATTTGCCACCTCGGCTTCCTGTTTCCACTCTCTGGTGTTTAGGGAAGGACTCTGCGGGTGGTGTGTGCGTCCATGAGAGCGGGAGAGACAAAAAGCACTGCCCAGCACACCCTCTCGCTCAGATCTGTGTGTGGAATACTCGTGTCACCAACGGCACTGGCAATGCTGAGGCATGAGATGCTTTATGTCCCTCGATGGTGGCACAGGGCTTCTTGGGTTCTCGGCAGGCAGAGGACACTGGGTGGCCTGTGGAGGCAGCAGAGCTCTTCCGGGCAGGGCCTGCCCGCAGGCAAGCGTGTGCCCCGCCCCACGTGGCAGAGCTGCTCAGCCCAGCGGACAGTGCTGGCCCGAGAACACCGGCTTGGAGCTGAGCTCAGGAGCCCGGCCCAGGCCCCTCCACTTCTCACCCGCCGGGGAGCCTCTGAGCTTCAGCCCCTTCTCCAAAGTGGCAATGTTGCTACTTGCCTCCTCAGAGAGAACAGAGGGTAGAACTGCCCGGCCAGTGGTGGCTGCTCAAGACATGCCCCTTCCCCTGCAACAGCGTGTTGGGAACAACCGTTGTTTCACTCGCAAAATCTTGCTGGCCGCGGTGGGGATCAACTTTTAACCTTCACGAAGCAGGGCCGTAGTCCAGCCTCTCCATTTAATGAAACTGATAGATGTCGTTCAATTCTGGTGGGAGGCAGCTGTCAGAAGAATGTCTAAAATCTGGAGTTCTCCTTCAAGTCACCCTCCCCTCTGCTTGGAGCTGCCTTCTGATCACCCACGAGAGCTTGGGTCTGTCCTACAAACGTGCCACCTGGCAACTCGAGTCCAGTGGCTCTTCACCAGCACTAGCTGGAGTTCCAGAACACCGGGTCTTTGGAGCCCAGTGGCCTTCCCTGTGGCGTCGCCATCCCCCCACCCGCAGTTCTTGCTGACCCTCCCTTTCTTCCTGTGGTTTTAACAGCTAATCGCCCTGTAGCCGCCCGACTGCAGTGCTGTGCGATTATCCTCTGTCAGTCCCTTTCCGGGTTTAGGATTCTTCTGTTCTGCGTTTTCAGGACGTCTCCCGTGCTAAGCTAGCAGCTATAATTCCAGACCCAGTTGTAGCTCCTTCCATAGTGCCTGTTCTGAAAGATGAAGTGGATAGAAAGCCTGAATACCCCAAGCCAGACACTCAGCAGATGATTCCATTTCAGCCACGACATTTAGCACGTAAGCCATGCCTGGAGACCCAGTACTGAGACCTCGGTTTGTTTGTTGATTTAAATCCCAGTGTGGGGGGAAGTGACATGGCCTTTCCATGTAGGTTAATTATTAGACTTAGGGTCACTGCGACAAGTGACTTGGTTGTAATCTTTGAGCCAGAATAACTAAGAATGTCCTCAAAACCAAACTTCAGTGATCCAGATTCCAGGCACCCACTTTGGCAGTGATACTTAAGCAGTTTTTAGCAGTGCTGCTCCGTGGGGTCACCTGAACAGCTGGAAACCTGCCTCAGTGATGTGGGTCGGTATGTTGACGCATCTTCACGGTCAGCAGCCCCTCTCGGTCCTTTTTGAACAAGGAACTTAGGACTAGATACGTTGCTGAATAACCGACTTGAAACAGGATTGCTGAACACATGACCCCTGGGTGCCTTACGCAAAGTCACTTGTCCGCTTCTCTACCTCCTGGGGCCCTGGGGTCGGGACTGCTCTTCCCGTCTCCCCTGAGTGTGGTTAAGTAGGGGAAGCAGTAAGAGTACTTGAGACTGAGCAGTGTAGACACAGGGACTCTAGTGCAGGCTCTTGTGTGTGTGTGTGTGTGTGTGTTGTGTGTGTGTGTGTGTGTGTGTTGTGTGTGTGTGTGTACGCCCCCAGCCCGTGCAGTCACACTGATTTTTCTCCCTCGCAGCTCCAGGCCTCCACCCTGTCCCTGGGGGCGTGTTCCCAGTGCCCCCTGCGGCCGTCGTCCTGATGAAGCTTCTCCCTCCTCCGATCTGCTTCCAGGTCTGTTCGTGTTTTCGCGGTGGGTGCTGGCTCTGGGGCCGCAGGAGCTGTGTGCTTCTCCTCCTGTGTCGTGGGAAGCATCAAGTACTGCCATTGTAACCTGTCCAGTTCCTGGGGACTAAAATGTATTCGTGTTAAAACAGGGTCCTTTTGTACAAGTGGATGAACTGATGGAGATTTTCCGAAGATGCAAGATACCAAACAGTGAGTAGCGAAGGCCCACCGTCAGAGCGCCGCTCCACACGTCTCCCAGGCGGGAGGGGCGGGTGCTCTCGGCCGCGTTTCCACCCCAGCCAGTCCCCCCACAGGGGTGTGTGAAGCCCAGGCATGAGAGGCCTGTTCACATGCTCGCTCCATTAAGGACAGTGTCTAGCGGGCACACTCAGACTTGGCTCCCGAAAGAGCTGAAGCAGCCTTGACAGCAGCTGCGTCCCTGTGAGGTGACGTGGAAGCACCTAGAACCCCCCCAAGCTCAGGCCCCACAGCCCGCTCTGCTTTGTCTCGACAGCCGTGGAGGAGGCCGTGAGGATCATCACCGGGAGGGCCCCGGAGCTCGCCTTCGAAGGCAATGGCCCCGTGGAGAGCAACGCAGTTCTCGCCAAGGCCGTCAAGAGGCCCAACGAGGACTCGGACGAGGACGAAGAGAAGGGCGCCGTGGTGCCCCCAGTTCACGACATCTACAGAGCCCGGCAGCAGAAGCGAATCCGGTGAGGCGGGCTGCAGACCGGCTCCCGGACTTGGGACTCCCTTCTTGCCTCTTAAGTCGCACGTCTGAAAGCGACAACGCTTTGTTCCAAGGTTCTTGGAAACAAAGTTGTATCGTCATTGGTGCCTCTCTCACATGGTTCTCGAGGAAAACCACCGCCACCTGTGGATTCCAGAACGCGGAGCAGATGTGCGTGCTGAGCGGGATGAGGTTCTCAGAAACATGAGACACACGTGGCAGAGCCTCGCGTGTGCACGTCTTGTACCTGCCGCTTGAAGATCTGTGAGTTTTCAACAGTTTTATTTTAAAAACTGGATGGCTTATGATTGTAAAGCATTTCGTCACATTTTCTGGAAAACAGTTGTTCTCAGTTTGCGTATGTAGAGTCCTGCCTTATTGTTTGTTTTTATTTATGGCGGAATATATGGAATCTGTTTTGTAGTTTAAAATTTTAAATCGGTCCTTTAAGAAATAAAAGAATCTCAGAAACATCGTGTCTCTTCTGCTTCTTTTATTCCGAGTTTATTTACGATAGCTGCTTATTTTATGTTATTCGGCCAGTATCATTTAAAATAAATGTCACTAATACAAGGAAAAGTCATCTTGTGTTTACCAAATGTACATTTAGTCACACGTTCTCCCCTGGACGTTTTGGTACTAACTGCAAACGTTTTTAGGAGGCAAATTAAACTTTCAGAATCCTCCAATATGACTGCATTTGTCCCAATTAAGTCTGAGGCAGATCAAGATCTTTTGTTCTCTTTTGACTCTTAAAAGCAACTAGTCACAGTTACTCAGAGGCTGAGGAGAGAGGATCGCTTGGGCCCAGAAGTGCAAGGCTGCCAGGAGCTATGATCACACCGCCGCACTCCAGCCTGGGCAATAGAGCGAGACTTGTCTCAAAAGCTAAAAACTTCTTTTTTTAAAAAGCAGCATAAGTGTGGAAACTCCTTTAGCCATCCATGATCTTGTTCTCACTGTCACAGGCCAAATATCCCTTCTCTGAAGTGCTTGGGACCGGAAGTGCCCCAGATTTTAGAATATGACATCACCCTCCCCAGGTCAGTATCCCTGATTCGGAAGTCCAACATGCTCCACAGTGCATTTCCGTTGTGCCAGAAAACTTCAGATGTTGAAGCATTTTGGATTTCAGATTTTCAGATGAGGGATACTCAACCCGTATATTGTGAAAGGTGCTCAGTGCTCAAGAACAATTTTTTCACGTGCTAAACACAGCATTAAAGAAAATTGCAGCTACTTAACCAAATTCTCATCACAGTGAGCAAAATCTTGTGCAGATTAAGTCCAGCGATCCTTCTGCCTCAGCCTTCCCAGTTAGCTGGGACTACAGGCATGCACCTCCACACCCAGCTAATTTTTTTATTTATTGTAGAGATGAGGGCTCGCCAAGTTGCCCAGGCTGGTCTTGAACCCATGGGCTCAGGGAATCCTCTCACCTCAGCCTCCCAAAGTGCTGGGATTACAGACGTGAGCCACCACGCCTGGCTGGGTTTTTTTGGGATGGACAGCATCTTGCTATGTTGCCCAGGCTGGTCTCAAACCCCCGGGCTCAAGTGATCCTCCCACTTAGGCCTCCAAAAGCTCTGGGATCACAGGCATGACCCACCACACCTGGCCAAGTTTTCTTAATATCATAGTTATCAACAAAACAATCTTCAAGGCACCAATAGTACCATATGGCATAGACTTTAAAATACAAAGACATAGACCAGACAGTGCTTGACAAAGCAGAGGCAACATAACAAAGAAAAACAATAGGGGTGTCGCGTCAATTTTAAGGTTGCCGCAAGTCAGAGGTTGCAGTTAACTGCGTTCAACGTTTCATTCAGATAAAGCAATTTAAAGAGAGGCTGGAGGGAAGTGAAGTTTGACTAGTGCGACACACGCCAGACGCGTGATTTCACCAGACCGAGCTGACACTGGTGCTGCTTCTTAGGTCCAGAAGGCAAGGTATTTGAGTCAGGTGTGACAGAAACCCACCGGCAGGACAGTATTAAGTAAGAGTCCGTCTGCTTAGGTTTCTGACACATATTTTCTAGAACTCTGGCTAGTTCTGAAAGTACCAGTGAACATTTGGTTAATAAATAGCACTTGCTAGGCTTAAAGGTTATCACCTGTAAAGCTGCTGTGGATACAATAAAAAGGCTAGCCCCCAAAGTGATTCTGTAACACAAAATCCAGCATAAACAGACAGTTGCAAACGACACTGTAGCGATTGATTTAGACGGCCTTTAACGAGACAGGGCCTTTGGATATGACTCCACAGCCCCTCACCCACTCCCATTCACTCACGGTTCATTTGTTCGTTCACAGCTTCATTTAGTGCAGCGGGACAGCCACGGGGGTCCCTGGGGTGGAGGTGGGGTCGGGAGTGAGCGGGCGGGACGGCAGCCCTGACCCAGAGGAGGCAACGGCCAGAGACAGGCGTGGAGAGGGCAGGGAGGAGACTTCCCGCAGACCCCAGAGGCTTGGCTGAGGCAGGCTGGGCGCCCCCGGGCACCGTACGACAGCGGAGGTGCGGTGGGCTGAGGGGCCTGCCCACCCTGACTGTGAATGAAGCAACAGGGACCCTTCTGCACGTACAAAGCGCTCTCGTGTCCATTTGCCACGGGATCCCCGCAGCAGCAGTGAGTCGTGTTCCCATTTTACAGGTGGAGAGACTGAGGCCTGAGGACCAGCACGCAGGTGAGAGCAGAGAAGGCGCAAGCCCAGGTCTCCCTCTCCATCAGGGGCTGTGCACGGCCTTCCCGTGACCAGTGTTAGAATTGGAAGGGAACACGTGCACATCTGGCCCTTTCATTCTGCAGGCGTTGGAACCAGGCCTGCCGCGCCCCAGCATGGGGGTCACCTGGGGGGCCGGAGCCCCGGTTCCCAGGCGGCCAGCCTGCCTCCATGACAGCAGACGTGCAAACGCTGGACACAGACACCAGGGGCTCAGTCAGGAACCACGTGTGCGAGCTGGCGTGACAGACTTCGCCAGGACCCAGGGCAGCCACGCAAGCAGGAACCAGAAAGCAGCTACTGAACTGAGGAAGACATGCCCCAGGGAAGCCGGTGGCGGCAACTGCACTCCATTCCAGGAATCGTAAGCCGCTGGCTGGGCATCACTGGCCGGGGCGCATACCACCCACCCGTGAGGTCCAACTTAGCAGCGACCCGGTCCTTCCATGCAGACCCCCCACGTGGGGCCCGTAGGCGCCATCGTGGCGTGGCTGTGCCTGAGCCCTCGCAGTCGGGCCACGTCGTCACGCCATCACACTGTAGCTTGCTTCAAAAGGTACAGCCGGTCTGAAACCCCCGGACCGCGAGGCCACCTGTCCAGCCAAGGGCAAGAGCTACTCCTCCAGACATTCATTCGTTCGTTCATTCACCCGCGTGACTGTCAGACCCTGGTGGCCTGGGGACACTGACCTCACCCTCCGTCTGTTCTGAAGGGCAACTTCGTTTTGGAAGGAGACTCTGCCTGGGGCGGCACATGGTGCCTGGCGTGTTTCTCGAGTGACTAAATGAGCCACCTGGAGCTTTGGGCCCTCAGTGAGGAGCCCTGGAACTCCAGGAAGGAAAGAAGCCGCCACAAGCGACCCGGGGAGGAGACTGACTTGGAAGCTGCTTCCTCCACTCTGCGTGACTGGTGCGGCCTCCTGCCACACACACCGAGGCCAGTGGGCCGGCAGTCGGGAAGCGACCACCCCACGACCTCGGGCTTCCAGCCTGCCCATCCGGGCCCACCGCTGCTCTGGGCACTGGGAGCGGGAGCCGTGTGGCTCACGACTACGAAAGGAGGCTGCGGAAGCGCGCACTGCGGAGCCAGGGCTGGCGTGGCAGGCGGCTCCTCGCTCTCATCCCTGGCGGGGGCAGGAAACACCCCAAGCACCCACAGCTAGGCCGGCGGGCGAGCTGGCCCCGGGAGCTCAGGCTTCCCCTCCAGGACCGTGACCTCCCAGGTGGCAGGCGCAGTGCCCGCGCAGGGCCTCGCCGGGCGCCAGGGAGATGCCATCTTGCTCTTCAAAGGGACTCTCCTCTGGATGTGGCCAGCCTGCCAGCCAGAAGCCGGGTCCCTGGGGCCTCCTGCCTGGGACCGAAGGACAGTCCTGGCTCTGCTTTTGAAATGTCCCCTGTCCCCACAGAGCAGAACTGACCTCAGTGCTCGTCTGCACACAGAAGGCCTCCCTGAGCACTTGCGGCCAGGTCCAAGTCCTGCATGTGTGCCCGGACCATCAGCAGTCTCAAAGATCCAACAGAATTTCTCCCGATGCCATCAGGTCTGAGTCTTCACGTGGCCGGTCCCTCCCGGTGTGACATCACCTCCCGAGGACAGACACTGCTCCATGGCCTCCTTCCGAACTGTCCCCGCATTTCCTTACACGGAGGAGCCGAGGAAAGGGCTGCTTGTGGCAGAACGTGGCCTGTCCCTGGTGGCCCAGCAGTGGCTGCGGCCTTCGTGGGCTTTCCTGAACCAGCCTCCACGTCTCCTTCAGGTTCTTGCCTGGGAGCCTTCATGTGCTGGCACTGGATTATGAATTGTTTCTTTTTTAACCCGTACTCCCAGTGGCCAGTATGATATTACTGAGTTCGTCTTATGTCCTACTTTCTGACCCCTCGTCCTTCTAAAGAAGTCAGGGCAAGTCGTCCTCGAGTCTGAATGGACTCCTGGCCACGCCTGGCAGCAGACACGGACCGCAGGACAGACGGCATCAGAGCAGCCTGCAGCTGTGCTTGGAGGTCACCTCCGCGAGTGTAACCACCCTGGCCTAGGACGCCCGGACCGCCCAGACCATGGGGCCTGCGGAGCAAATGCCCCCACCCGGTCTCAGCCTCAGTGTGTCCTGAAGGGAGTCCTGTTACTCAACCCCTGCTGGTCTGGCAGTCGGAGATCACGCCAAGCTCATGGCTCCACTTCGAATGCGATGTCCCTGCCCAACACCTGCACACAGACACCTTTTCAGGCAAACACAAGAGGTCATCAGTGAGACCCAAATGACTCGCACAGTCACGGCCAGGTCAGGAGTTCCGGGCACTGTAGTTTCTTGAGAAACAGCTCAGAAGCCAGGGGTTTCCTGACTTCTCGGCTAGGAGGTTGGTGGGCTTGGGTTTTTGACCTGGAAATGCCTCCATCTAATTCCAGAGTCGGATTCGATCAACATGTCTGTGTATCATATCAGAGTTCACTGTCCAGCGAAAACCCCAGAGCTGTCTCTTCTTTCACATTATTCTAAACTATGTGTTTTTTTTTAATTTCCTCTTTAACCTTCAAAGTTTAAAGTAAAAGGATGTTTTTTCTCTGAAATGGCTTCCAAGTTTCTTTTAGGTTCTTGTCTAAAAGTCTTTGCATGCGAACACTCCTGAGTTATTCTTTTCTGTGCGCTCTAGGCGGCCAGGATGGCACTACTGAACCATTCCATGTCCTAGTTACTTTCCTTCTAAATGAACCAGGGGAAACGTGTCCTTGGGCCGTCGCGCTAGCAACTTCTGACTGCACGCACAGCACCCATCAGAGCTGCTGCCATCTGCTCAGGAGTGATTTCAGATCAAAGAACAAGCTTTTTAAATCGAATCACTCTCCTCCAGAACAAACAGCTCTGGAGCCTGGAGGCTCGGCAGGGAGGAAGCAATAAATAGGGAGGAAAAAGGCCGTGAAACCTTCTGCCAGCCTCCCAGCACAGAACACCGGCCAGGGGCTGTCAGGGGACAGGCGAGGAGGTCAGGGCTTGGTCTCTACTCTTGACGGCTGTCACACGGGTGTCTGAAAGAATGACCCGACAGCAGGAGACAGGCCCCAGCCTCCTTGGGAGGACATGACGGAGTTGGAGACGGAGCCATCGACTGTTTGAAAGCTGAGCGTTACCTACAAAACTCAAGAGGAAAAAAGCTCCTTGGATTTGTAAACTTGCACTCATAAATACAATCTCTCGGAGAGAACCCAGCACCTGTTTCAACAAGTCCTTGCAGCCGTGACATGCGGTGTTCTTCCCTTGGAACCAGTGCTGGGACAGAGACGCGCACTGCCAAGCCACTTCAGAAGCAGCCTCCCGGCGGGAACAGGACTGAAGCAGAGCGATGCTTGGCTGCGGGCACGCTAGGGCCTGCCCAGGACCCTGCAGAGGATGGCGTCGTAGTAGGGACAGAAGACCATCTTGTTGTAGTTGACCAGGCGGACGAACTTCACAGCGACGCCCTCCAGCTCTCTCTGGACGGGGCCCAGCCCCCCGGGGACAGTGGGCATTGGCTTCTGATGGCCCGAGGCAAGGTGGGTTTCCAGGAAGGTCAGGACTCGAGATTCTGCGGCGGAAAGAAAGAGGTGAGTGGCTTCCTGTGCGGCGACCTCACGCACTCCCGTCACGTTTCGGTCTGCAGTCGCACGGCCCCTCGGGGGCTCCCCGTGGCCCAGAGGCGAGGCCCACACTCCCCCGGCCCGGACAGCTGCCCTTCGCAGTGTTCCCCCAGGCGGTCAGCATGGAGGCAGGAGCCATGGGGGTCCCGCCCAACACCTCCTCAGCACCCAGCAATTGCCTGGCAAGGCCCAGCTCCCAGGGAGACCAAACACGTGGACCGAGAACGCAGGTTGGGCTGGTAGTGGAGGCTGGAGGCCGGGTCTGCTCTCAGAGGGCCGAGACGCACCAGGCCAGCACCGGCCATCACCGGTGGTCACAAAAAGGGAAACATGAAGCCGGCACCACAGCCTCAAGAAAGAAGAGAAAGGACGGCCCCACCCCACACT